AAAAAAAAAAAAGAAATTTGTTCCTATAACTATTTTGGCCACATAGTCACATGAAAAAGTCCAATTCTCCTATAGGAAAACCTCCTAATAAATTCTGTTGAAAACTTGAATAAGGAAAGGCTGGAACAGCGTCATCTCTGCGGAATGCTCAGCATTTCAGTAGTCTGCTATTTCTTAGGGTCTGCAACTTCCACCCACAGTGCATTTCCACACCCTTCACAAAGAGGGAAGCTCCAGCTGTTTCACCAGCTGCTCTTGTAGCCCGTCAAAAAAGCACCAGCGGTAAGCTGTGGAATTCGTGCAACCACTCTAATAGCCTGTTTTTAGCCGTTATCTCTCCCAAAATGGTTTCACAGAGAACTGCAGGTCTCTTAACTCCAAGCAATGAAGGAGAATAAACATTAGATTCCTAGTTTTTCATTTGTGTGCTTTTGGCGGTAAGGGTACTAATTTTGTTCATTCATTTTGTGTCATTTTTGGTTTTTGAAAAATAAAAATTAATTCTTCTAAAATGGCACTTTCCCAACACCTTCCCCAAAGCTTTGTGAGATTTGAAATTAAATGATCAATTTAAACATCCCTTCTGCAGAAAAATTATTCCATCAAAATAAATACAAGGTTTATCTTCCTTACACAGATGACATAGCAATTTCTTAAATGTTCCCCTTCAAAGCAATCTAAGAACAAACAGCTTTCCCCACCTTGTTCTTCTGCCTGACTATTCCGTTACTTTATAACATAACGTTTCAATGAGTCTTTTCTTTCCAATCACACCCTAAAATCTCTGGGTGACTAATAAAATCAAACTAGGATTTATTATTACATATAAGACGGCTGCTGGATTGCACAAATTTTTAAAGGGTATTCTTCAATGAACATCCAGATATTTCAACATCAACGTTAAATGCTCATAGAGATCCAAAGTTTTAAACCTAGAAATTTAAATCTACATTACCAACTAAGTGTTTTTACAACTTCTTATATGTGCTTTGGAAATGTGACACTCTGTATTTCAAGGTATCTCACCCTATAAACCTTTTGTTTTAAGACAGCATGATAATCTAATAGATCCCAATTAAAGGATTCTTCTTGTGATCTTACATTTTCCTTCTTTAACAGATAAATGATCTGATAATTTCTGGCATCAAACTCTGAGAGAATACTAACGTGTGAGAGGTCCAAACAAAACCACGTCCAGCGCCTTGAGCTGAAGTTTTTGTCTGTGGCTCCGTTCGTTGATTTTCAACTGGGAGGTCATAAATGAAGGTTCATGCACTGCTATCCTGTTCATTTAAGAAATACATATAATTGGTAATCAAAAAAATTTCTAGTATATAAACATTTGAGCTGCATACTTAATACTTTACCTATTAGTGATGACTGCTGTAAGAGCTCATCCACTTTATTACAAGTATCAAAAACATTTTCAGAGGAAGTTCAGTTTGTATAAAGACTCTATTTTAATAATTTAGCTGTTATATTCGTGCTTGCTTTCAAAGATTATTTCGCTATATAAGTCACTATAATTTAGAAAATTATCAAGTTCTAAATACTTCATAATTATCTATATTATTTTACTATTTTATAAAGAATAAAAAAATTAGTTTACTTGACATTAATCAACTCTGAAAAAGTTTTCAATTTAAATCACACTGCTTTTCTTTAACAGTACTTCAAAAGTCTATACCTTTACATTCTGTGTAAATTGCTTGAAAATTAAACAAAGTCCAATGAAATTACAAGTGGGAAGAAGTCACCACTGGTTGGAAATTAAAGGGTGTATAGAAGAAGAACTAACTAATTTATCAGCAATGATAAAGATGAAGGGGAGCAAAAGGCACACATGAAGTAAGACAACAAAATCACTTTGTTTTGTACTCTACAACCAACCATCCGAGAATTAAACTAAGGTTTTCTTAAAAACCCAGTATGATACCAGTAAGTCTTAAAACACAAAATCTAATAATAACATAATTACTAATAACAATGACGATTAAAACAAGCATGTACTATGTGCCGGGTACTGTGCCAAAGGTTTGGTTAAAGTTCAAAAAACTAGGAAACTAAGGTATTAAAAGACTGAGTAACTTGCCCAAGGCTATATAATTACAAAGAAGTAAAGCAGGGACTCAAACCTAAAGATTCACAATCCCAACAACTCTATTAAACACCACCACCATTTTATTTAGGAAGATACCGAATACAAACTATGGAGAGATTACAGGAAATCTTGTCTATAAAACTTTAGAGAGTAAAGAAAAACTCTAACTTTCCTTTATAAAATGCTTTCCTTCATCTTTTCCACAGGTGCCTTTCCTGTTTGCTCCTCATACACTTTTAACAGAACACTTACTAAACTGCTTGAAGGCTAAAAAAAAAACTGTCTTATCTTTGTATCCCCAAAACTAGCATGGTGCTTGGCAAAAGTAGATGCTTGATAAATGTTTGGATAAGAGATGAATGAATGCATGGATGGATGTATGAATTAATTATAGCCCACTATCAATAGACTAAATTTAAGAAAGACAATGAGATGTAATAAAAAGGAAACTATATACAGAATTTTATGCAAAGTTCATTATGAGCCCAGAGGTGGAAGTGATTCTACCTGAGTGGGTGAGGATGTCAGGGAAGTTCACACAGGTCTGAAAGGAATGAGGAGGCATGTGTCAGGTGAAGAGAGCCTGAATAGAAGCTCTGGTAATAAGAATTACAGAATATAGAAAATACAGTAAAAGGCTTAAGATAACCATTATAATTATCATAAAACTAACGATTTTGATTAAGAACTGCAGATGTAACTGTGCTTTAATGTCACAGAAAGGAGACAAAATAATTATTAGAGGCATGTACATATGAAGTGTGTAATACATTTTCTTGTTCATAAACCTTATACTACAGTGTCTTATATAAAACTCTGACTTACACAGTAATTTAGTTCATTGACATTACCCCTTTAAATGGACACATTTAATTGTCATTACCAGATAAGTAAGAGCTTGATGAAAGACCTTCCAGTTTTGCCTTCTCCATTCAAGTAAGGCTGACCTGAAAGCTAAACTTCTAAATGTATACCATTTCTAAGATAATAACATGCTCACTATTTTAAAAGTTGATCTTGATTAGTGTGTAATATTTTTCCAACAATTCTACCAGAATTTCAGCTATCTCTGATAACTTTTACTTAAAACCAAAAAAAGAAAGAACAACAAAAGTGGCTGTTACATTTACTGTCAAAAGACGGAGCAGTCCATTTTATTTTATGTCATTTACTTATATAAAGAAAACCTCCCAAAGGACAAGAAAACCTCCCAAAGGACAAGAAATATAATACTTAAGAAAAATACAATACTATGAGCTCCTTATAACCAGTTACACACATAACTTGAAAAAACCCTAATTTCATTCATCCATCCATCCATCCATCCATCCATCCATCCACTCATCTATCATTGTTACTATTACAGTTTATTTTTACATCATTTTGTGCCTTTTTCCATCTCAGTTGTAATCCCCATGGACTTCTATCACCAAATCACCTGTGTGCCATCACCATAGTCCTGTGCATTCACCTCCCCACTTTTGATCCCAGTCCCCACTCCACCCCCATAAAATGTCTCTAGTATATATTTGTTCATTATTATTATTTTTTTTCCCCTCCTGGTCCTTTATGCTCCTGCTATGAGTGAAACATTGCAGTATTTTTCTTTTTCTTCCTGGCTTGTTTCACTAAGCATGATCCCTTCCAGCTCCATCCATGTTGCTGCAAAAGGCATATGTTTATCTTTTTGACTGCTGAGTGATATTCCATTGTGTGTTATGTACCACATCTTTTTAATCCAGTCATCTACTTTTGGGAATTTGGGTTGATTCCAAGTCTTTCCTATTGTAAATAAAGCAGCAATAAACATGGGGGTGAAGGTATCTTTTTGAATCAGGGTAAAAAACCCCTAATTCCATTTTAATTTTTCCTACTCTGCTCCTTTGTTAACTTAGGAGAACCTATATTATATAAAAGTAAAAACTACATCTTATTTAATTTTTATCTTCCATATATTCTATAATACTTGTTTTATTGACGTTCATTCCTAAGATTTTATCATAGTCATTTGTCAATAAAATCGGAAATGCTGTTATGTTCAGAAAACTTATTATGGGAGGTACGAACACTTTTGGATGTGATCCAAAATACAAAAGCCAAAGCAACAAAAACTGCTAATTTCAACAGAGTATGTACATAAATTGATTAGAAATACAATGAGCATATGATATAGTATAGTAGTTAGATAGTAAGAAGAGTCTTTTTTGACACTAGAAACAGTCCTGGAGGAATGGAACATAAGCAACCTTTTAAAAGTAAAGTGCTGGTGGAATCATTGCAGATTTACACTTAAATCTTAAAAATTAGGTTAACTAATTGAGATTTAAAAAACCTACGTTAGGAAGTTAGTAACAATTCCAAACACCTCAAGGATAAACTGGCATCCAATATTTTGCTATGAGATCTACATGGGTTCAACAGTTGCTAAGGCAAAATCATCAACTTCTCTGACTAGGCTAAATTAATCTGGTAAATGGGAATAATAATAAAAATTCATTGTAACCATGAAACATAAACAATATAAAGTGCCTCTATGTAATACACATTTTTTAAATGGTTGCTATTACTTATAATTTGTTTATGAAAATTCATCACTTTGGGCCTCCCTGGTGGGACAGGGGCTAGAGACAGTGTTAGCAAGCTTTTGCTAGTCACCACAGCACAAGTTCGATCCCTAGCAGGCCAGGGAGTGACCCACATGGTGCAGCAGACCTCTCCTGCCTCACCCACTGCTCCCATCAACAGTGTTCCTCACTCTGTCCCTGGTGGTTCCTCTCATACCCCACAACCCCCTACACATCTGGCCAGCATAAATAAATAATTTTTTTTAAAAAAGGAAGAACGTCTACATTATTCCAAACAGGTATCAAATGAATTTAAACTTTTGTTAATGTCAACAGATGGCTCCACTGATATCATCTTAAACAGATATAACAGTTGGTCCACTGATGTCATCATAAACAGATATAACAGACCCACCTACAAATTTTCAAAATTACCTCCTTAAGAATAAACTGACTAATAATTTCAGTAAGAAAAATTAATTAAGTATGAAAGTCTACATCTTGAATTATTAAAAGATGGAGATACATAATTCCTTTGAGGCATTAGCCCAGAATTTATAGATTCATCATTGAAAAGTAACACCAAGTATATAATTCTCCATGAGCAGAAAAATACATTTAAATAATTACTCACCTGGGAAGTGTTGTTCCTTTGACATTATTGTCTCTAAAATTCTTCTCATATTGGGGTAGTTCAACAAATTCAATCAACCACTGAAGGGTATCCTCAAGAGTCCAATTATGAACTGCAAGAGACAAAAGGAAAAGATATCATTTTAAACACACTTGCTTTCAAAATTTATATAAATTACACGACTATATATGTGTACACATATATACACATATGTAAACAGAAATACATGTGTGTACACAAATACTACTATAGCTGTGGAAAAAATAAAGGTCTTAGCAATCTAATTTTCAATTTAATCCAATCAACAGTAAGTATCAAATTGGTATTTAGCATTCTAATAAAAGGTAACAACAATGGGATATGCCTCTTACCATTAAGGGCTTACAATCTAAATCAGCTACACAAAAGAGTACAAAGTATTAGCATGGTCAGTTATAAAACAAGTGCACAGACAAAATTTCCACTGGGTAAAATAGTGTAGTACTTCCTGAGCTGTATAAAACTTAGCAGATATATCAGATGGTTGGAAAAGTCATGTTGCATTTCTGCATAGAAAACACAGGGAAAAAGTCATGACTTTTCCAACAACCAAACAGTTATTCATTCTTTTTTTTTTTTTTCACTCATTACATAGTAGTGAGTGTAAGGATCACTATGTAATCCTTTTGCACTCAGGTTCCACTTGAAGCATTTCCCCTCATGAAACTTAAAATTCCTCTGGAATGAGGTGGGGCAAAATATAAAAGAGGGTAGACCTTAAAAGTTTTCTTAACAAGGGAAACATATTTTTCCTTTACTCTCTTTTTTGTATCTATGAGATGATGGATGTTAACTAAGCTTATTTGGGTAACCATTTCATGATGCAAGTAAAATCACTATGAATAAAAGTGAATAAAAGTCCCGTGACAGAACAATCACCTTCACATGCAAAACAAAGTATTATGTAATAGTTCACATATATAGATAGCTGTATATGTGAATAACTAATAAAACAGTAAGATGCCATGTAAATGTGTTTTTAAACAAGGAAAAAGGGCAAGACATTTCAGATAGCATCCAGCTATTAAAAGTGAGATTTTCGATGATATCATCAAGATGGTGATAGAGGAGGGTCACTGCTTCACCCCAAGAGGAACATGTAACAATTAAACTGAAGAAACACTGTACTGAAGTTCCAATGCTCAGGATGAGACTGAAGCGCTCCTTGAGCCTCAGAAACCACACAGTCTGCATCAGAGGAGATACACATTTAGCAGACAAAAGACTGATGGAGAGAAGTACCTGGAGATTGTGGTTCAGGGTGGGAGAGACAGATGACATGGTTACCAATAAAGCCAAACGGCCCAGGGGAAGGAAAATAGAAATGATGTGGAGGCACATCGCTTTGTCCAAATAAAGCTCAGACAGAAGAGCCAGGATGTAAGGAGGACAAGAGAGAAGTCTCTCTACATTACACACCCCTCAGAACTGGGACTGATTTCATGAAATACTTAGTATCAGATCTGGCTGCCCAGAAAGGAGGGATATTAAGACTTGCCACAAACATGAATCATGACAGCAGCTGAATCTTATGTTTCTCCTCCACCCTGTGACACAGCAACTGCAAATACAGGATTTAATACTTACAGAAGGCAGTAGAGGCCAAAAAGTTAAATAAAATCAAGCCACTGTGCCATCTTCTGAGAAAGAAAAAAACAAAAGGGCCTCCCTGGTGGTGCAAGGGGTTAAGAAGTCTCAGCACAATGAAGCTATCAGCAGCCAAGAAGCACAAGTTCATTCCGCAGCCAGGGCGGTGACCCACATGGTACAGCAGACCTCTCTGTTCTCACCCGCTGCTCCTCTTAGCAGTGTATTTCAGTAGATCCACCTGTTCTGCTCCCCACTCTGTCTCTGGTGAATGCTCTCATACCCTGCACCCCTAGCCTGCACCCCAGCTCTTACATGCTTAAGTAAATCTGTTTTTTAAAATGAATATATTTTTGCAAAACAGGGCAACAAAAAATATAACACATGACACCTTGAGACCTCAAAGGAATATCACATCCAGGCGAAAACTACTCTTCAAAATCCAATCACAAAGTAATATAAGATTATAACTCCCTACCAGATAGTGTTCAAAACTGTTATAATACAGCTCAAGAAGTATAACTGAAGAAAACTCACACAAAGGCAAATCAAAGTAATATGTCAGAAAAACTTATCAAAAGAAAACAAAGCAGGAAAACACAGTAATGAGTTCAGAATAAAATTAATGACCAGAAGGCAGAAATTGAAACTTCAAATAAGAAACAGATTCAGGAAGTGAAAACCCTCAGTAAATGAAATGAAGAGTGCTAAAGAAAGGGATGAAAGCAGAGTACACTAAATGGAAAAATGAGTAAGCAAGCCTGAAGACAGCACTGCACAAATGACTGAGGAAGAAAATTAAAAAAGAAAAGGAAACACTCTTAAAACACTCTAACCCCATTAAGAACGGCGACATAAGAAAACTGAGTATTCCAGAGAGGAAGAAAGAAAGAAAGGAACAGAGATGTCATAAAAACTGTAGTGAACAATTTCCCAAACCTGGAGAAGAAAATCAATATATGAGTCTATTAAGAGAACATGTGGTTATCTAAAGGCAAAAAAAAAAAAAAAATGAACTATACCAAGATCATCTAATTGTGAAATTATCAACAAGAAAAAATATTGAAGATGACTGATGGAGAAAGCAGGCTGACTTACAAAGACACTGCTACCAGGGCCTCCCTGGTGGCATAAGGCATCTCCACACTATGAAGCTATAGCAGCCACTGCAGGCGGCACTGATCCCCTGCCAGGGAGCTGACCCACACAGCACAGCAGACCTCTCCTGTCCCACCAGCTGCTTTGCGGTTCCTTTCAGCAGTGTATTTCAGTCGATCTGCCTGTTCTGCTTCCCATTCTCTCTGTAGTGAATCCTCTCACCCTATGCACCTCTGGCTTCAACCTAGCTCTTGCGTGCAGAAATAAACTTAAAAAAAAAAAAAAACATGATAAAGAGAATATTCCTTATATAGCTATAGAAAGATAATGAAGTTATTGCCTTGAACATAATGCTAATAGGAATATGGTGCAAGTGGTCAGATTCAGTCCATATTCTGAGGATAATGCTGTCAGACATGCTATGAAAAGAATGGGGTTTGGTATCTACTGGAAAGTCCAAAAAAAGTGCAGAAGATGGTATCAGTGGAGGGTGGGACCATTTACTGAGATAAGAAAGAATGGGGAGGCAAGTAAGGCCAGGTGATAGAGATCAAGAGTTCTGTTTTTCCAGAGTTAAGATTGAATTAAATACTAGACATTTTGGTGTAAATAAATAATAACCAATCAGATGAACAAACCTGATATTTAGAGAAGGATGAGGTTAGCAACAGAGATATAAATTAGGAGTCATCAGAATATAGTCTGGCAGTCTTTAAATTGAATGAGAACATCTGGAAGAGTGAAGAGAGCTACTGTGGGTATCAGAAGACTGTTAAAGAAAGTCTTCTCCTGAATGCATATTTTAGTTGAACCCTTTCAGCCCTTTTTCTTTTAAGATTCACTCACTCTCACACACACACACACACACACACACCTCCATTTTGGAGATGAGAAACTGAGATGTTAATGGGACCAACATAATCAGTAGTAGAGTGGATTTGAACCCAGTTGATGAATATCAGGACCTGATTCTATGGTACTCTGAAAGAATTGTGATGGAAGAGATACAAACAAGCAGTTAAATTGGAAACAACTTAAGTTTTTCCTGCTTAAAGATTATGAAGGACAATGATGAATAAATCCAAAGAAATGGAAGTAGTGTACTTGAAAGATGAAGATATATTTATTGTCCACATTTAAGAGTATGGGAAAACAAAGTGCTAACCGACTATAGAAAAAAGATTAAAAAAAACAAGTGAGTTATAAAATCAAATCTGAAAAGAGATATCCCTGATAAACTACAGAAAATTACTCACTTTTGCTAGCAAATTTACTTTTCACAATATTCCTTTTTCATTAGTGTTCTTTAGAGTAAATGCTTAAATAAACAAGAAAAAAATTTTAAATCATTCAAAAATTACATGTGGCACTGATAATTATACCTTGATAATTATACCTATTTATTGTTTTTTTAATGTTCTCCTTATGCCATATGTGTGGCCATGTGACTGAAGCTGCTACCTCCATTTAGCCAAATAATTTAGGACATCAGCCAAAGGCTCTGATTCTGGGCACTTTCCACTGAACATAATACATTCAAAGTAATCTTTTTACTCTTAAATTTCTTCTTATTCAAGCTGAAGTGCACTGAGAATTGCCCTGTCTTGCCTGCCAAGAAACCGACAGTGCAGCTGTACCTCACACACCCACACAAAACCTCAGCCAAGAACATAGGAGAAGAGTCTCTCTGTCATTTCTACGGCTGTTCAACTGATCAACAGCAAAAATCCCTCATCTAAACACTCCAGATCATCCAAATATTTCCTCAATTCCAGTGAACCAGCATGGAAAGGAAAGAGAAAATGAATAATACATAGTCAGAAGTGCACAAATTCTAGATTATGCTGCCTAGTAAACAGAATATTATAGTGGTTCTAAAATATCTTTACACTGAATATTTAAAGTAATAAAATTCAAGTACAGAGCACAACATTTTCTTTGGGAGGAGGTTCACTTATTTCGCTGTTTTGGGTTTCTTTGGCTAGTAAATACCTTCATTTCTCAAGATAAAACTTCTGTTTTGTATTAGCTTTCTTTATTCCAAATGCACAGCTGTCTTTGAATCCTATGACAGATCACACTGTGCTAAAGGCCATTCCTCAGGCCTCTGCACCCGAGTCCCAAGTAGGAGACCCTGTCTTCGATCCTTGTGATATACCTTAGCCTATTTACTTTATTGAGCATTCATATCTTGGCTAAAACTTTGATTTATTCATGGGAGCCTTCACCAATGCTGACAGATGATCCTATTTATTCTGTTTTATGTACTCTAATTTTATGCATACCTTTCAGCTAATTATAATTTTTTGTTTATCATCTCGACATGTTTATTTCATTGAAGCAGAAATTTTTTATTTTCCAATCCATCCCTAGCACTTAGTACACAGA